GGCGGTGAGTCATAAGATGGTTGTCTTCTGGGTTGTTGCGCCGTGTAGTCTGGTCGATGTTTACCAACGTTTCTGAGGTCATACTGCCTCCATCATGAGGTCGATCGCCTCTCTCAGTAATTCTGAAGTATTTAAAACCATGTCATGAGTGTTACTGCCGATGTGTTATACTCACTGGATACATCTCATCATGGTGTCGATGTAGCCATTGGTAAGATTTGGACTGTTCTGTAGGTATCCCCACACACTCTGGACCGTGCAGTTTTTCACCGAGACAGGGTCTCCAGCTGCGACCAGTGGAGCAAAACAGATCTTGTTGAGACCCTTGCCCTCGTCTTCACCGAGCTGCAAAACGTAACGTTTCACATTCAGTTGGACTTCAATACAAGTCTTTCGTTATATCTTAAATGTTATCGTAGTGTTTTGTTAATGGAATAAGAATCTCATGGCTCTATCTACCTCAGATTTATTTGTATAGGGTTTCCTTGGCCTTCATATTACTTTTTATCCTATATATTTATAATTTTGTGTTTTCATCGGTCACTGTGTTACCCCTTTTATCTGCACGGTTTATCTCGTCGTGCATGCAGTAATCTCGTAAATTATGTTATCGGTCTCAAGCTTCTGACAATTAGGATCTTAAACTTGCTTCTGATCGTCTTTTCTTATTGTCGCTTCAGTCTGTTTACGTATCTCACTGGTTTAACAAACCGTTTGTGTATAATCAAGTATATTCTTTTGAATATTATTTTACTAAAGTGCCTGAAACTTATTCTGTATATAATTTCTGGACCACAGATCATTAACTATTGGTATCACAAAGAAACTACACCCCTAGTCCGAATTTAGTAATGTCTTCGATCAGTGTCGGGTTATGAAAACTATCGATTGATCAGATCGCATTGTTAATTATAAACCCATATGGTGCATTAGTAGAATTAGGTTTGGCAGCGAGTATCGAAATACGGAAAGATATGGCCCCTTCCCCAAATTGTATACCACAAATCCAACGTGGCAGCGACTGAGACCTCAGCTACGGAACAGCTGCAGTTGGTATTACCAAATGTATGCAGTTTACCACCCTCACTATTCCTGTACAGTGTGCAAGTCGACTGAATAATTTCTGAGAAGATTATACAATATGAAATAAATATGGAAACACATATGCAAAGGAAGAAGCAAATATAGAAATTAATAAGAAAATGAATTACACAGAAGGGAAGAAGAAATTAAGCAAGAAAGAAAAATAAGACACTACAGGGAATAAAGACAAAATCAGGAAAGTTGAAATAAGTTTGGTTTCATTTTGTTGATCTGAGTGCACATGTCACAAAATATTACCGTCCGAATATCGTATCTTTATAGCACCCTCCATTGGGCAGAGGCCGCGATACCTGCAACCCTGTCCCGGGCGAAACGGGACGAGTCTTTGTGTGTAATACACAACCGTTCCTTAAAAAAACATTATCTTACTAGGTAGTAAAGCATTATTGCCAATTTAGGAAACAAGACATATTACTTAAATGTTTCTGTTTATAGTTGGTAGCTGAAATCTCAGATTCTCATGGCAACATGAATGAAGATTACTGTCTTGTGGAATTTGCATCGTGTAGTCTGGTAGATAATGACAGGAAGCTCCTCTAAAATTTCGGTCTATATCTACCAGACTACCCGGCACAACAGCCATTGTCGGTTGGTAGCTGTTTCAACATCGAAGACCAGAACGACTTCACTGGTTCAAATGACTTTGTCCTTTGTTAAGTGATCTGATCAATGTCGTGATTAAAGTGACTGACTGGTGGTGATACAACGCCATCAGCGGTTGTCACTCACGCTGTACCTTTTGAATCTGATCCTGGAGTTTGAAAACGGCGCTAAGGAATGTATCGTTGAACACTGGTCCGTATTCTTTGTCATCCCACTTTACCTGTAACAGACATACACGACTAGGTCTCACAAATGGTATCTTCCCTTCAAGTTTATCGACTAAAATTATGTATGCATTTCTCATTTTTCACATGCGTATTCTGTGTACCGGATATTTCATAACAAGTGCTGTACTTTTTCAGGGGAAATTACATTCAAAGACAGGCATACATCAGATAAAGCTTCAATTGAACTGATGACAATATAATTACCTTGTCTATCCCCACTGCCTTCACAAACACTTGCTCTGTGCGGTAGAAAGGTTCGAAACGGCTGTCGAAATACTCTTTCTCAAGACGCGAGCGACTCTGCGGCGCAGCCCAAATTTCTACCGGATCTGTCGTCACCTGTAAGTCGAAAGCCCCATAACCCAAGGCTGCCACAACCCACGAAGAAGCAAATAGAATTATAGCGGGGTGAGAAGCAAACACTGAAAACAAGAAAAGCAAATCAGTGACATGGTTGTTATGCGCTGTGTTTCGTTCTGGCGTGCAAAAAAGACGGAAGAACTCTCGGTACACTATGCCTGCGAAGTGGATGAAAAGACGAACAACATAGGATGAGACAGGTGGAAGATTTGGCTCACACTGAGCCGGCGATTGTAATAAATTACTTTAAAAACTCTGAATAGCATTAATGATTATACACTAAAACGAGTTAATTCTAGAAATTTCCTCATACTTTTTTACTTAGATTATTTCTTTAAATATTACTGTTCGTTCTTAAGAAATAAAATATAGGAGAGCTATGTTCCTGGAAAATTCCTCAGTGGCGACCAATAGGATAATTTTCATTGCTGTTCATCCCATGCACATCGTGAAAGAGGTATAGTGAAGGAGCTCTCCAAAGTTCGTCCGAAGCAAACTCTTTCTTGAGCAAATACGGACCTAGCTGCGGGGAGCAGATCTTTTGACTCAGGATAGGGATCAGTGATGGACACGGTAATAAACTTTCAGGATCCATAAGGGACAGGAACTCTCTTGATGAGGCGTTGATTATTAGCTTCGTACACGCAGAAGAAAAATGCATCTTTAACAAAATACATCAAGCATTGTAAAATGTAACAGAGTCACCACAAACGAAGCTTTGGACTTGAGAAACTGCAAGATCTACGAATCATTACTGCCGACTGGTTAGCATTCCTTTGTGTTCGGAATATCCCTGATTCAAATCTTTCGCAGTTTTCCTCAGCTCTTCCAGATAAATGTCAGAATATAACTTTAAATTAAGCCATGACCCCTTCCTTCCATATCCTTACCAGTTCACTATTCATTAATACTAATATCGACGCTGTATAGTCTGAGCTAGTGGCAATGTCGTTAAATAACCACAAATAAAATAGACTTCAGATGTACGATTCTTATGTGGTTAACAGTTCATTGACTACCTTCATTTTCATTGACAGATGACATTGTCGGTACATTTTTTATTATCAGTAATTAATTACAGGTGCATGATAGCGATAACAGCATTAAAATTCCATTTATCTAATCCGAAATCTCCAGGGGATGTCATATGTTGCCTCTCGGATTGAACTTTGTATTTTAGTCTAGACACACAACAAGCGTTTGGCTTGCACCTATACTCTATGATGCCTGAGGTTTCTCGTAGTTTACCACAGCATCTCTTGCCGAGTTCGTGATAGTAGTATCTTAAATAAGCCAAGATCACATCCTTCCACATTCTTTCTAATTTATAGATACCATTATTTTACCATTCAAAGCTATGTAATATGTGCTTGATACGATGTTGTTAAATAAAATAAGGAGAAACGCATGCACATCAACATACAGCCTTTCCGTGAAAGAGTATAGGTCTTCAAATTTTAATTATATATTAAATTTGACGAAAGAACATCAAAGTAATTGTAATATTGTAAATTTTTGTGTCGTAGGTTCTAGTATTCGTCATTTTAACTGTAGTAAAGACGTCACTTTTGATTCGTAGATACGGACTTTCGTCTTTGTAAAACATCCAAAAGATACGTCTGATGGACTTATATTAGGTAAACGGGGAGTCCAAGAAATTTGTTCCCTCTTCACAACCAATTATTCTGAAACTGTGCACTCAGCAAAACCTTCGCTGAATTGAGGATGAGAGCCATGATGTTGGTAGACGACGTTATTTTCAATTTCAGGTTGTGCGAAATAGTTGTTTTCTACCAAGTCCAAATGTGTATTAGTCTTGTTACTAGTTCCTGAAAATACATATTCAGCTTTGGAGTATCTGTTTCATGTTCTACACATTATATGGGTGGACAGGTATAAAAAAATTTACATTTTACAACCCCTAGCCGAGTACAGTATTGATTTGTCAAAATACTGTCGGAATCTACAGCAGTTTACCCAAGATGCATTGCAGCAGTTTCTCATGAAAATAGCTGAATTATTACAGGTTGGATGTATGACCCATGAACGGGTGTTGAATCTACAATAAAATCCGAAATAAAAATACAATATTATTTGAAAGTCGCAGCTTCTTCTGATATTTTCTCGTCCAATTTCATAAATAAGTTTGAAACTCTGGCATCTTTCTTGGAAAGCCTATGAAAGTAGGCCTGCGCATTTGAAGGCTGGTTCGCAAGAGGTTTATTGAAGTGTTGAGGTAAAACTTACCGATACCCCACTTTGTGAAGAATCGCTCTAAACCAGAGTTGAAGGTGTGTTCAAGAGTGGTCAGGAATGCAGGGTATCGAACACCGGAGAAGTTCGCTAAAACATTAGAGAAATAGGATAATATCAAAATAAATTAAGTTTAAATCAGGGCAGGCGGCAAGGGCCTCTGAAACGTCGGTAAACTTCTACCAGACGGCTCAACAACCCACAAGACAGCCATCTTCTGTACCTAGGTTGTAATGACGTTTTGGCTTATAGTTAGTTACCGACAGTTAGAAGAACGTTGATTGGTACCTGTAATGCTTAAGTGTATGAAAATCCAGAAGTCCGCAATTTAAAAGAAATTATTTTCATTTTTCTTTACGAGAGCCTTCTTTCAGATACTTCAGTCTTTAAGAGCTGGTTACTATATATAAACTGTAATAATTAAAGAGGCTTTGCTCTGTGTTATTCTGTACAATTGAACTATACTTCCCCACTATCTAAAAACTGTCATGAATAGCATTAAAAGTAGTAATTTTGAGATTATAGACATGTTTATTAAAATTTTAAATTAAGAGATTGATTTGATCTTCTGTATCCACCAGTTTGACAAACAACTCACGTTTTAGTTTGTGAAAGATGAACAGCAAGGCGACGAAACACACCGCCAAAACTATATACACAATGCACATGATGAAAGCCAGACCGTAAAATCCGGCTATCTCGAACTCTTCATCATCTTCCGCTGGGAAAGGGACCAAGCCCCCTGAACCAGGGCAACTCGCTTCGCAGTCTAAGCAACTACATGCTGCGCTATCTTCCTGCAAAACCAAATTTTTTGGATTGATATTTGAATAAAACCGTGCACAGTGCTTGTTGAAAAATCAAAATCCTTCAAATTGTAAATCGGAGAAAAGGGAAAAGAATACTGCGGTATATTCCCAGCTGTCCTTTCCGTAGAGAAACAGAATTTTTTTGAGTTCATAGAAATATTCACATGGTGTTTAAATACGCATTCTAAAATCTCATATTTTGTACAATGTACAGGGCAAAACATAACACGTTGCTTTGTCTTATTTCGTATTGGATTTCAACAGCAGTAGGCTAGTCAGCTAGTGAAATTCTCCGCCTTTTATGTGTGCTTATTACTGTTTTCGCTAGAAGCCGCCAATAGACCTGTGCTGAGCCAGATTAATCCACTACACTTTATAACCTCTTTTAAGATCTGTACCAATATTATCCTCCCCACCTATTTTAGGTCTCCCAAATGTTCTCATATCTCCATGTTTTTAGATTAAAATTTTGCGTGTATTTCTCATTTCCCTCAAACGTGTTACGTGTCCCTTGTATCTCATATTCCTTGATTTGTTCGCCTTAATAATATCGATAAAAATTATAAATTATAAACGTCCTCGTTATGCAAATCGACCCGTAACACGTGATCTTCGTAAGAATGTAAGCTCTATGAAACGTCGATACTTACATCATATGGCTCGGAGCAAGACTTTGTTTCTATTCTCAGTGGTTCATATACACCATTACTCTCTGCTATTTGTATGTAGTTGATCTGGAAGGGCACGAAGTCACTGTCCGCTTCATTTCCCATGTAGGCAAACCACCTGAAATATGTTAACTTCTTTATACATAGTCACTCACACTGTCTCATTCTTTGCATTCCCTATAATCATAAATTTGTAAAAGACAGACACATTATAATAACACTCACGAAGAAATTCAACGACTGAGGAAAAACGAGAGACTAGAACAGGCTGTGACGTAATCCATGAAGGAATTAAAGAAGATTAAATATGTGGAAGGCTCGCTACCATTCAGTTCAAAACAAATGCATTTCCATCCATGTGCATAAGTGAACATCTAATTAAACCTTAACTTTACCTGTTTTATAAGAGAGTGAAATTTGTTGTTTCGCGTCAAGACAATAATATTTGAGGATTGAGGGTACTAAGAACATTTGGATGTTAGGCAGGAAGTAAAAGGAGTAAGGAGAAAAATACATAACGAAAAGCTTTGTCATTTTTGTAAATGAGTAGATGAATAAGGATGAGATGGTTGGGGCATCAGAACCCACGAGGAAGTTTATAAACACGTGCAGATATTTATTCGGAGAACCTAAAGTGAAGCGATTCGAATAAATGAAAGGACAGTATTGCGTTGTGTTTATGGAGAAACAGGGTTCCGGGTTGAGATCTAGAATCAACTGGCTAAACAGATCATGTTTAGAAGGTATTATAAATCTTATATGCAAGAGTTATTCTTGAGACGCTAATGATTGCTCGGATAGTTAAGAAGTTACTCGTCTTCTGGAAACCCCGTGGTCCATTACAGTGTTACAAAAGTCCAGTCCTAATCCAAAGCCAGTTTAATTCAATCTCAGCCCTCGTGCATTATTTATCTTGTGTTATGCAGAATTTAAATCTCGGGTTATTTGAGTGTTTTACGCCTTTAAGTAGACGTCACGGCGTCTCTCACCTTTCCGGAGTGCAGTCTTCAGCGCCGTAAGGAATGCACATGCTACCTAGGGCCAGCCCACCACTAGATGGCATTACAACTTGGCGACAGGACTCGTATGTTCCATTTATGTACTCCGGATCGACGTATACGTTCATGGCATTTATATACGTTTCTGTAAATAGAAGATACTTGTGAAGCGGATGACAGAAATATTTCCATTTCTGCTATCACCTGATGAACTTTATACTTCATTTTTTTCCATTATTTGTGAATGTTCAGATTTTAGTAGACACGGGAAATATATTGTCAAGTGTAAAATTAATAATCAGAAGTACTGTTGAACATGGCTGCCTTCTAGGTTATTAGGCCGTGTAGTCTGGTAGACGTTTACCGACTTTTCAGAAGTCCTTGCTGCCTCCATCATCTGAGTAATGTTGGAGGCAGCAAACACTTCTGAAACGTCGGTAAACTTCTACCAGACTACACGGCCTAATAACCTAGAAGGCAGCCATCTTCATACATACATGTAATATTGTTCAGGATCACGTGATATAACGTGTCAGAATATTACGTAAAAAGATAATATTCTGGATTGTTACGCGACGTGGTATTTTAGGTAGATGATAACGTTCCCTAAGAACGTCACAACTCCATCTTTAGTGTAACCAACTTGTCAAATCCCAGAAGACCTTAGTTGTCGTTTGTTAGTGAAAATCTCCATTCACCTACAATGAAAGTGCTTATTTCACTATGAGTCAACGGATATATTAAAACTTCAGGAATTAAGAATGTGCCACCTACCCATGTGAATTAATTTTGTGGTTTTAAGAAAATGAATTATTTTAATCCTCATTAAAAGAGTTATACTAGCAATTAAGCCGAGTTATGTGACTTAGAATGAGTGATCAGTGTTTAATGGGCAGTGTTTGCAGAATACAGTAAAGATATTTAGTGGATGTGACGGCGACACGGTCTTTCCGCAATGCGCGATCACTGCGTCGGTGACGGCGTTTCTTGGTCCTAGCGGCACATTCGTCAAATATCTTCACTGTGTTATGTGGTACGTTACCGTTTCTTTCATTCTGTAGCAGCTCTGCGGGCTCGATGAACTTGCTTTGGTTTACAGAACAAGTGAATTCGCATATGTGCTTCATCAGGTTCTTGACACATGAAGTGCATCGCTTTAGGATACCCTCTGCTAACTGCAGTTTCTCGTCCATTGCTTGTAGCTGCACTGTGGTACAACACGTGCGAATGCCAGTGCCTGAAACAGGTATTTCAGTATTAACCCATTGACGCCTAGTGGTAAATATATGTACCACCTGTTTAACAAAAAGTATTTCTGAATTTTACCCACAAAGTATAGCCTATTTTTCGGTTTCACAATATGTTTAGATTAAACATTTATAGTTTTCTTAAACACCAATAAGTAGTTGATCTTTGTAATTGTTGTGGGTTGTGTTTTCTTTGAAGTGAGAATCAGTAGTGACATACAGAATGAACTATCCCAGGATTTTCCCGGAGAAACTTAGAAAACCCCGCTAAATATCCCAGTGAATGTATCCGACTCTGGGCCAAAAACTGAACACAAAACCTCGCGATTTCTTAGTTGAAATAGTAATTAAAGCACGATTTTCGTCAGGTATAAGCTGATTAATACTCACCATCATCAACATGTAAATGAGGACATCTCCTGTTCAGGATCTGCAGTCCAACAGGGTCTTGGAGTACTGGCGCCTCTATCGTGCTGTAGCAGTTTTTAATCTTGCCTTTCTCGTCAGTGTAACACTGCCCATACCAAATGCAGTGCCCGTCTTCATCAGCCTATATATATATAAAGCAAAGCGTACAGCGGAGTTACACTGAACAAATCTACTTTGGAAAGAGCTTTATGGCGTAAGGATGTAAGTATTACCCATAAAAGCGGAGAATTTCTTTACTGGCCTTAAACATATTTATATGCTGTGCCATGTGTTTCTTGAAGATTTCTGTCTTCTGGGTTGTTGCTACCATACTACACAGCGCAACAACCCAGAAGACAGGAATCTTCATACTCAGCGCCCTGATGACGGAGGCAGTATGACCTCCGAAACGTCGGTTAACATCGACCAGACTACACAGCGCAACACCCCAGAAGACAGGAATCTTCATACTCAGCGCCCTGATGACGGAGGCAGTATGACCTCCGAAACGTCGGTTAACATCGACCAGACTACACAGCGCAACACCCCAGAAGACAGGAATCTTCATACTCAGCGCCCTGATGACGGAGGCAGTATGACCTCCGAAACGTCGGTTAACATCGACCAGACTACACAGCGCAACACCCCAGAAGACAGGAATCTTCATACTCAGCGCCCTGATGACGGAGGCAGTATGACCTCCGAAACGTCGGTTAACATCGACCAGACTACACAGCGCAACACCCCAGAAGACAGGAATCTTCATACTCAGCGCCCTGATGACGGAGGCAGTATGACCTCCGAAACGTCGGTTAACATCGACCAGACTACACAGCGCAAGAACCCAGAAGACAGAAATCTTCATACTCACCGCTGTGAAAACCTCGAATCTTACAGGGGGTTTCTTGCCGGCTTCGCGACCAGATCCATCTGTTGTGGTGGTGGACACTATGACAAACCTTTCTCCGATTTTCTCGGCTTTCTTCTGTCAGTATCATTTCACCGCTGTTCCATTTCATTCGTTTCGTGTGGTGCATGGACAATGTGCTTGTTAACGGAACAGTGCCTCAGAGATGTAATCTCATTTTACTGAATTACCTCATTCCCCTGACTTTATAACATACGATTTCTTTTGATTTCGTCTTTAAAATCACTTTTATGTTCTCTGAATTTCTATGCGCTATCTTATCTTACTTTCATGACTAAACAAGTTTTAAGAGAATTAAACTGCTGAATTTCCCATAGATTACAACAAATTTATATTTCCATTCTTATTCTATTCTCTTTCTTACAGAACAACCAAACTCTACTAATTTAACATTATTATAAATTTATAATTCGCATTAATTTTCAACATAGATCAGAATATTTTAAGAAAATTTTTACTTTTACAGTGTGATTGTCTTCTTTACCTTTTATCGGTTATACTATCAGCCTGCATGCTAGTTTGCTCTCTTTAATTTGTACTCACCTGGGTTGAATATGCACTAATTAAGACCAGAAGAGACGGTATGAGTTGACTGTAATACTTCATGTCACTGGATCTGTGAATCATATTTATTGCTAATTACGTTAATTTAATGGACAGAAATGTAAATTCCATAAAGTTATAAATAAAATAAATTAAGGTACTTTAATGGACTTAAATACAAACTAAGTATATGTTCTTGTGTTGTCACCAGAATTCCGAACAAAGCCATAATATAAAACTACTCGTAACAATACTTCTTAAATGAGGCAAAGTTGAAATATCCGAAAATATCAGTGTCGAATCTGTAGCTCAGGATGTGACTAATAAGATGTCAAGAGTCCTCACTTCTTTGCTGCGTCTCTAAGTGTGTTATATTCTAGTGATATGATTGCATAAATTAATTTGCGATAACAAATTCATACTCTTATACCTCACAGTGTTTATTATAAATTACTTTCTGAAGTTATTTTTCACAGTTTTTAAATAACAATGACCTACATCAGCATCAGTTACACACAACATTTAATTAAATTGTACGTGCATTATAAATCGTTTTGTGCCGATAAAATAATTATCAGAAAAATACAGATCATAAATTATTCAGATGACTACTATTTTCATGCCGACTGCTGCATTATATCAGCACTGACTCGATGATATTATAGAACACAAAACTTTTAACACTTTGCACACTTAGTGTCCATCACTTCAGTCGTTAACATCTTCTTCTCTACGCACTAACACTTAAATTAATGTCTGTATTTACGGACGTATGGCTGCTGATTCTCACCTAGAGGTATGAAGTCCAGTTTGAATAAACAATGATGTTTCAGTGCTTATAACATGACCCTATACCTTCACCGTGCAGTTTCGGACTGCAGCTGTCGAGTAATTCGAGATACGGTCTTCTTGGAGCGATTAATACCACAGATTACGTGTTGTTTTACTCAGTAGGTAGAAGGGAATATGAACTGTTGATAACGATTTAGCTGTTTCGGTATAATCTTATTATTTTAAAATTAATGACGACTGTTTGGGTCGAACCTGGCACGTTTTGAGTACCAGCACCTTAGAGTGCAGCAGAAATATACAGGAATCAATGTATTTCCCCGCCTTATATAAGACGTGTTCACAAGAGCCCTTCTGTATTGAGGCGCACGACTCCAGTCCGCATACTCACGCGACGTGCCCCTCAAGCCCATCTTAACATTATATTTCCATCTACGCCTAGGTTTCTCAAGTGACTATTTTTCTTTCAAGTTTCCCGTTGGTATTCAGTATTAATTTCCCATCTATCCTATGCGCGTTACATTGTCCGCCCATCTCATCCTCCTTGATTTGATAAACGTAATTAAATAGAAAATTTGTTTTATTCAATTGACTCTTCACCATCGTCAAGAAGTTTTAGATTAGAAAATTTGAAATTACGGAAATAAATCCGAGGCTTGCCAAGAAAATTTTCTTAGTGCCTTATCTCTCTTGTGTTGCCAACAGGCATCAAGACGATGGTCACAAAAGATGTGATAAGTGTTTCTTAATCCGTTTCAGTATGATTTCTCTGGATCACAGGTGGCTGTACACATTTATCAGAATCTGAAAGTGATAAGTTATCTTATAACAGGTGTGCATCTTACCGCGTGTTTCTATGTGTGAATAAGCAATTACCCTGATACGACTTATGTTGATTAAATTTCCAGCTGTAGAAACAAAACAGTGAGAAATCGGCCTTTACAGAACATGACATCAAACGCTAAGAAACTATATGACTTCTTAATTTATCTGGGTTTTCGCCGACACTGATGTTTGCCCACTTATGAAATGAAACTCGCGTTAGTACACATGACGGTGCAAGCGGGAAAGAATCTCGTCGCAGTGGTTCAGCATCAATAAAGACAATAAAGACTAGGCCTGCATTCTCTGAACATTGCACTTTGTCTTGATAAGAGAGAGACATTTCACACAGTTATCAACTAGTTAGCCAGATGTTCGCCACACCGATAAGCCGGTGGTTAATAAAGGGGAACAAGCCTTAATCGAAATGACTGCGCTTAAATATGAAGGATTTAGTTCTCCGTTTTGTGACAATGATCTGCCCAAATCCTGCCAAACCTGCCCTGCACTATCTGTATAAATTGTTTACTAAGAATTTTAAAATGTCGGATTCGAGGTTTCCACGGCGGAGAGTCTGAAGATTTCTGTCTTCTGGGTTGTTGCGCCGAGTAGTCTGGTCGATTTCCACCAACGTTTCAGAGGTCCTACTGCCTCCATCATCAGGGCGATGAATTTATCATAATTTCTGTGCTATATATACCTGCTTCAGTGGCGTGACTGCTGATGCACGATTGGCTTTACCTTTCAGTTTAATTTGCCGTGTCAAGATTAACTTCACAGAAAAGCTTTTAAGGCTAGTGTCGGCTGTGCAGTGGTTTAACTTACTTCCTCATCTCCGTTGAAATCTGTCACGAACGAATGAAGATATTTCATGCTAGCTGTATATAGATATTATCATTGTCACGTAACAAACAACTCGTGCATAATGTTTTTCTTTTCTGGGTTAAAAGCCTGTCTAAAAAAATTACTTTGTTTTTTCGCATCGATTATTAAGTCACTTATTAACTAAATGATAAAATTTACTTTATGAAAGTAAAAGTAAATTGATCTGAATTTATGCCACGTAAAAAAGCTTTAATGATTAACTTTATGGAAACAGATTTCTGCAGAAGCTTATAGTCACTGAGCTCTTCGTGGAAATTTCCGCCTTTGTGTGTTCACAACAGCCCTCCACTAGACCCGTATTGTGAGAATTTAAATTCACTTCTCCTCATCCTAATTCTTTAAAAGTTGTTTAATATTAATATTAGCCTAACATCTACATCTAGTTCTCCTAAATGAGCTCTTTACGTCAGAATATCTGATCAAAATCGTACGCATTGCTCATCTCTCCCGTGAGTGCTACATACACCGCCCATCACCCTTCTTAACATTTTGTGAACAGTACAGATTATGAAGATTTTGCCCTCAGAACTCAGTTCTTAACTATTCCGGATGTGCTCTCTTTCCTTAGGGCTAGAGACCAGGTGTTATACTGACACGTAATATTATGGCTTTGTAAATACCGAAAAATGAAGAGTTCTGAACTAAACTGGACTAAGCATATTTACCCTGATTTTAATCTACTCTAAACTGCTTTGTGAATATAATTTTGATCTTTTAGGTTATGTTTTTGCCCTGCGTTCTCTTAACGACTCACAGGTACTCTTTGTTTCTAGACAGACCTGAGTCATTTATTTATATTGTCTGAAGATGTGGCCTGTAGCATTTCTTTGTCGTTCTACCCGGGCCTCACTTCCTTTTTTTGGTTAATAACTCAGTGTTTGGTAGTTTTTCTCATTCCTATCTATGCAGATGATAATTCAGTTTTTATTTGAATTTTGTCTCACCCATATCTCCGAGTTAAGTAAACTTATCGTGAAGAAACTAGGTCTGGAACACGGCTCAATGCCAGTAAGACACGACAGAGAGTCATTACGAACATTTGTGGAGCAACAAATTTTTATTCTTTAAACGATAATTAGCCCGTTTGTTAAACACTAAAACGTTTCTGTTGTTTGACGTGCATGTATATAGTTCTGAAATAATGTTAGAGCATTAAATCAATTCTGGCATGTGTACATATTTGGTGTAACTTTATTTAACATCCGTTAATCTAAGTTGATGTAATCGCCATTAATTGTGTGAGAGTTGTGTAAATGTTATCCGGGATTACAGCATTACTAGGGGACCGGTCGTTTAACACGAAGGAATCCTCGCCGATCCGTAAAGCTGAATCAGCCTAAGTTTTAAAATACTGTGGAATTTCACTTCCTGCACAACTAACATCCAGGTATCTGTCTTTGATTTGTAGCGACTGTAGTTACGTATAAAACAGAGGCTGTTGTCACATAGCATTGAAATTAATCCATAATAAATTTGCGTTTAGTCACAGGTGAGATTTCAGGTTTTCGCGGAGACTGGTTTGAAGATGGCTATCTTCTGAGATGTTGCGCCGTGTAATCTTGTAGCTTTTGACCAACTTTTGAGAGAATCTTACTGCCTCAATCATCATCGACTTTATGATGGAGGTATAAAACTCCTTTGAAACGTTGGTAAAAGTCTACCAGACTACAAGTTTAAATAATAAGATTTGCAAAATCGCGGAAAGCACATCTGGAAAATGTTTGCATATCATTTTCACATGACCACAGGCTGTTTTACCAGTGACATCTTTACAGGACGAAAATCTGTTCTCTTGTCATCTTTGACTTCATTATCGTAATAATATCTGACGAAGAGTGTACATTATGAAGATGTTCATTAAGTAATTTTCTCCAGCTTCGTGTTATTGCGCTCTCGTGGATCAAAATGTTCTCAGCGCCCTATTTTCAAAACCATCTTAATAATACATAACTAAAAACGTATTAATTAAAGTGTCAGTGATTTCGTTGTGTGCCAAGAACTATGTAGATGGAAGCATTGCGAGGAAAAAGTCCAAAATGAATGTTTTAGTGTCATCATACTGAAGACATTGTACACATACCGCAGAGGTGATTAGCCTAGGAATCGTCGTGCGCTCCTCTTATTAACATAAGTCCTTGATAGATTATCTGAAGTCTTCTGACCACAATTCATTATGCTTGTCATGGAGATATAAATGGTGTTTTCTGATAAGGGCCCAGCGGAATATCGTCTGGCATTGTACACAGTAAAGTCCCGATTATCCAACTTATACCGGACCTAATTACGGTCGGATAAGTAAGTAAGACCAATAAAAATGTAATATAAATTCAATTTATAATTTGGTTTACGATATTATTAAATTCGCAACAAAAGTTTGCTGTTGATAAAATGGAGCGTTCCGACACGTCGTATGAAGCGGAATAAATGTCTTGTAATTAGGACTCTACTTTACTTCCGTTAACGATTTCAACGTATCATTTACATACCTACCCATTAAATGCTTAAAATTTGCTGATGGTTTCCCGTGTGTCTCGGGATCGATTCTATTCCAAGAGTTCGTCTATTGTGGTTGAGGTTTTTCGTACGTTGTAGGAGAATATTAAAATGGATCTTAAATGATGATTGCTGTTTTCCTCAGAGATGCTGTGATCCATGTATGTGAAATATATGAACATCTGGGTCTAATCAAAGGAAGAAACATGTGTTTACTTCTGTCTGTAGGTGCCTGCGCCGTCACTTGCTCGTACATGGACACAAGGGTAGGACCTAAAAACGCTGGTTTAACAGCTGAGATCTTCCGGCGCAGAGCTGGCAACAGAATCAATGGAGGTGCGTGCATCATCACAGTGCTGTGAGGAAATATATCACTCTTTAACTGCCTTAGCGATGTACAAAGAGTGTTTTCAGTAAATAGAATAAGAGAGACAGCCATTTGTACGGTTTATTTTTTCATTAATATTATAATACTTTGTATGATCTGAGGTTTTCACAGCGATGAGTATGAAGATTTCTGTCTTCTGGGTTGTTGCGCCGTGTAGTCTGGTCGATGTTAACCAACGTTTCAGAGGTCATACTGCCTCCGTCATCAGGGCGACGTGTACTTAAGACAGTTTAGCAGAAACTGGGAGCGTAGTAAATCTTTTATTTTTCTGTCATGCGTGATTGAGTCGGTCAATCAGACACTATTATTATTATTTTTTGTCATCCACGATCTGAGGCCATTTCTGTGCATTTTTGTTTCGTAATAGTTAATGCCGGAACCGCAGAAGCATTTCCACTGTGCCGTGCCGTTCTTGTGATTATTATCGGGCATAAATTTTCCTGTTCAGAAAGGATCTCCATCTACGTCAATCTTAGTGACTTAATGTAGAAAGTGTTTGACCGCTAAGTTCGCTGACATAAAATGTACATGGTTATTTCTTATTTCAAAACCGAAAATCGCTTCAGCAGTGGTACTTACCTAATTTAAATACGAATGTGCTTCAGATTTTCTAGTGTAGTTTTCGATTCTACGTTTGTTATCAGGATTCTGTGTCGGATCGAAAGATGGGCATTCGTGGTAAACATGTGAAAATTATTAAATTAAAATTGAACATAAAATAAATGCCAGTGTCTATCTACTTATCTGTGTGTGTGTATATATGTGTATATATGCCTATGTATATGTTCTATTTATTCTTCTTAAATGTAATTGAAATTCTAGACTGAGAAATTCAATGGAACTCAAAGATGCTCTTGTCCTTTACAACAGTGGTGTATGAAGCATTTCGTGACATATGGACTTTAATTAACTCATAATTAGTACCTAATTAATCGACCAACTTGAATAAATAACTTACTCCATAGAGCACAATCCTTCCTCGGTAGATTATAATATATCAGTTCGTCAAAATTCTTCGCATTTTATGAATCTCGAAATTTTAGTGGAAGACCTCTTACTTGGAAGTATAAATACAAAATTATTCGTGGGTTTTAAGGAAACAGTTAGCGAAGATGTGAACTGGATTTATCTGGTTAAGGATACGGTCTAGTTGCGGGCTCTTGTGAAAACAATATTCCTTCCGGTTCCGTAAAATCCCGCGAGTGTCATGACCAACTGGACGACTGTTGGCTTCTCAGAAAGGATTCTGTCCCATGACATTGTTGTTATTACTATTATCGTCATTGTTGTTAATTTACTGTTGTTTTTGTACAAAAGGTTGGCAGTCTAAGAGACGCGTCTTTGCTTGGCGTCCCAGACGCAGACCCATCGTGGCTGCCAGCGGTTTCGCTGCATATCGCTCGCTGTTGTGTAATCACGTGAGGTCGTTCAGCGAAGAAACGACATTACATGGTATTCGCTACATCGCATCATCCAAAAGCTGGTTTGCGGAAAAGTGAGTGCTAACAGCGTCACATGGATTGCAACTTGTTTCAAGAGAAGTTTTATAACCAGCTGACTAGAACATAGCCCTTCTTGAAAGCAAATGACGACTCAGTCAATAAATTCCTGAAGTTCTGTATGGGTACCTGCGCCAAAATTAGTTATACTAATTTAATTTGTAAAATGTGTGTACTCTGTTACTCTTGGAGTGCAAGTTTCCCTTCGGCTATGCCAGATTCACAGTCTCTGTGTTCCTCAGGTTGCTGTGGTGTGCCGTGTGCATTGTCTGCATCACAGTGGCTGTTGTTATGATGAATATTGTGTGGATGAGGTTTCATAATAGCCCAACTGTTACTACCGTGGAGTCAACCACCTACCCCATCTGGAATATTCCGTTCCCAGCCGTCACTCTCTGTAACAACAACAAGATTTACAAACCCGCCGCCGAGAAACTTGCTGCAAACCTGTGAGTACCGATATTCCTTCAACTTTTACCTCTGACATCTTAAACTTTCGGAATTAAATATGTGTTTTCGAACGTTTTTGTCAGAATCACCTGCTTACGTTGTATTGAATAGTCGCTAGTTGTGGACTTGTTATCCGGAATTCCCTCTGCATCCAGGCCGACTCCTGTCCAATGGTTACTAACCAACGAACTAGGCGTGTGTGTGATGGTCATAAATATAAATAAATGGATGGGTACTCTTAAAACTTAAATATGTGTTCATCAGAGACACGTGCAAATATTAAAATTATTCAGTGTAATGAAAAATAAATGTGAATATATTTATATATTATTTAAATCTTGTCCGTCTAATCACAATAAATTCTTATATATTAAAATATTACACTAATTAACATTTAAAATATTAAATGATGTTCTTTATCTTTACATGAAACATGTCGTGAAAAATGATGATCTAATGTAAATCGAATATTTCGATAAAGAACATCATTTAATATTTTAAATGTTAATTATTTTAATATTTAATAAGAATTTATTGTGATTAGGCGGACAAGATTTAAATAATATATATTTATTATATCACAATATGACGCAACTTTATCATCTCTTGTGAATATATTGTTATCTTAATTGCTCTGTACTTGCCCGCAGAAGTGCACAGCTACAAGTGGAACATTCCTTTGTTCTAGAAGTGCTGGAAATGTTACCAGCACTTATCACCCCTAAGAAAATAGATTTCGAACATGCAAAGACGGTTCAAGATATGCTGTTTAAGGCAGGCTTCACCATCGACGACCTCATGATACAGGCAAGTTTCCTTGTGTCTTACTTAGTTTCTTGAATTGTTGGAACTTTTTGTAATGACTTTTGTTAAGATTTTGATTACCAGCTTTACTGCAATTTTATCAGTCTTTAATGCTTCAAACTCTAAATTTGGATTACTGAAATGACAAGATCAATTCATTTAAATATTTCCATTTTTATTACTTGAAGATGGACACAAACTGACTTGTTTTGTTTGATAGTGAAATGACATATGGGCAGTTCTTTAGAAAAGAGGGTACTTGTGGGTTATCGTGACACATCGCTTTAAAAAATAGGTTAGGTTTGGTTAGCTTACCTTAGGTTAGCTTTGCTTAGCTTAGGTTAGGTTAGGTTAGGTTAGGTTTGGTTAATGTGTGTGGATAAATGACATATACTTGAAAGTTATTATATTTTATTTCAATAAATGACAAATTATTATATTTTATTTGGATGTGCATGAGATGTTAATTGTTGTTGCTACCTGTCTCCGGAGGCCAAAATTCGCTTATAGATTTTAGAATCGTTTTAAAAATATCGCCGTTATCATTTGTACGCCGCCACATGAACTCAGCTAAATATGAATCGAGATGATTCCAACTCCAGATATTCGACTCTCCCGTTATGTGTCCCGATAACCAACAAGTACAGAAAAGAGATCATTAATAAAGAGATCAGAATTGAATCCACGAAGCTTCGTCTCTCATGTTATCAAAACAAATCTCACAAATGTAAATTATAGAATTACAGAAGGTACTGACATTACATTCACTACTGTATGATGGTTCTGATCTAAAGTAGAATTCTTCTGAAAATTTTTTAAAGAATTTATCTAAAGAGAGCTGAGTTTGGTTTATGCTTCACACAAAGTGAACTGATTATTCTCTAAAATATGTTGATGTTTATTTGTAGTTGGCACCACCATGCAAGACTATATTGGTGAAATGCATTTGGCTGGATAATGATCGTGAGTGTTCTGAATTATTTCAAACATCCAAGTCCGTGATGGGTATCTGCTGTTCTTTCAACTATAATGGCGTGAAGGATAAACTGAGGTCGTATGTTGTTATTTTTTTATTTGTGTGCTCTTTAAAAAACTTGTAATACATAATATAGAATAATGTGAAAATGCTGTTTAGATATATTAATTAATAGCAATAGACAAAATATGGAAGCTGTCTACTTATTACAAAAAGAAGATAATTCGATTTTTTCTTAAACATAATTTACTCTAATCTTATACAAGTTTTAGGACATAAAACTAAATTCTGTAACTTTAAACATTGAACATCACAGAACACTGACTGTGTCTCAGTTGACAAAAGTTGTTCTTATATGGACCACAAAACAGTAATTAAACCACAGAATGCCATACAAGTCTGGGATCACAGGCAATATAAATGATTTGAGGTTTTCACAGCGATGAGTATGAAGATTTCTGTCTTCTGGGTTGTTGCGCTGTGTAGTCTGGTCGATGTTTACCAACGTTTCAGAGGTCATACTGCCTCCGTCATCAGGGCGATGAGTATGAAGATTTCTGTCTTCTGGGTTGTTGCGCTGTGTAGTCTG